AACCTCTCCAATCCATTTTGAATTTTTGTGGAAACTATATCTGGGATAGGGACGTGGGTGGCGCTGTGGGTTAAACCACAGAGCCTAGGACTTGCCGATCAGAAGGTCGTCGGTTCGAATCCCCGCGATGGGGTGAGCTCCTGTTGCTCGGTCCCTGCTCCTGCCAACCTAGCAGTTTGAAAGCACGTCAAAGTGCAAGTAGATAAATAGGTACCACTCCAGCGGGAAGGTAAACGGGGTTTCCGTGCGCTGCTCTGGTTTGCCAGAAGCGGCTTAGTCATGCTGGCCACATGACCTGGAAGCTGTACGCCAGCTCCCTCGGCCAATAAAGCGAGATGAGCACCGCAACCCCAGAGTCGGTTACGACTGGACCTAATGGTCAGGGGTCCCTTTACCTATATCTGGGATAGGAATATATATATATAGCCAATAGAAAAGAATTCCTTGCCTAACACATTTTACAGTCATAATAAATTTCTGTACAAAGTTCTACAGAGGAAGATAAAAAATAAGAGCTCTTGGCTGGGCTTCCACACTATTTGAGTACAAAATTTGTGATTCTGGCTTTATAACCAGAAATACCAGAGTCCTGTCTTACTGCAATTATATTTGGAGAGTTTTAAAAAGGTAGACTCACTTCTCCCTAGATGTCGATTCATTCAGGCTTTTACCCATTTTCCCATCTTAGCATCTCAATCATTCCTCCTGTCCCTACTAATTAAACTTCATGACTGGGCTGATAAAATATAAAAGGGAGACACTATTAAAATGCATGTAGTAGGTGGTCTGTGCTTCAAGTAAATAAATAAATAAATGCACCAAAGAGACCTTATCAACTGCATCTGAAGCATAAAAAAAAAGCTGAGACACCTCATAATTTCCATGCACTCTTAATCTACTTTGTGCAAATTACACACTCAGACTTTTCTAAATTTATTGTAATTAGGCCTATATATTACAAAGGGACTGCTCGCACAGCTCCTACCTAATCTCTCATTTATATGCAGAATAGCAGAGCTAAAGAGTTTAGGATTTTCACATGTAATGCTCTTTTTACCTAATCAAGTTATGCAGCTTAGTAGCTTGCTTCCCTGTGGTTCACACACATTTTTAAAATAAATCAGCATAGTCCTAGCCAGGCATTAATGCTATTTTCGGCAACCTTTCTCTATTCGCTGATTGTTCACCGGGGACACAGTAATTCATCACTCAGAAGTAAATGGTGCATGAGTAACCCATTTTAAATAATCAGTTTATAAGAGAAGCACTACAGAATCCAGATTAAGTTTAAATGAAGTTATGTATTTCTCCATTTTCTTCTTTAAACCACATAGCAGTGCCATGGGTAGCGGGAAAGGATGTCTCTGCCTGGGTAATTCTCTAGATTACTCTAGATTTGTGAGTTCATGTTTCAATCACTGGATGAAGTTTCCATTTTTCTGATGTTCCATGAGATTGATACTGGTTCACTTTCTCTTTTGCATTCATCCTGTCTCGTCATACCAATCCCGACACACTAAGTGTGCTAGGGAGGCAGCAATCCCATAATATGTTACTTCATATTTATATTAATGGAACATAGCCAGATGTGTTATGGGCTGGCCATTGCTGATCTGGCTACGCTTCTAAGCTTTCAGCCATCAGGAGCCCATGCTGCACACAAAAAAGAAGAAGAAGAACTATAACAGATAACATACCACTGCTTGAAATTTTGAGACACTCTTGAAAAAACTAACCAGTTGCATAGTTGGGTAATTTCAGCCTCTACACTTCATAGTCTTATGCCTTCTCTCCTTGAGATTGTAATGTGTAGCACTATCCTTTTTTTCAAAATGTAGTAAGCCACCCCCATGCTGTGTTTGGGCACTCTCATGCTAATTTGTTGAATTCAGACCCGGGACTTCTTGCCAAAGTCTTGTCCTGATAGCACTACTATCATCAACATTCACTGATCAACCTCAGCCCATAATTAAGAGAGCTATGAGTTTATATGGAATTGCACCTGCAGCGCCTCATATTTAAAAAATCCATAATACTAATTAAATAGTCATTTTAGCTTTATATTATATTTATTAAGACCAAATAAGTAATCATAAAGATGGCTTTTGAGTCGACCAGAATTTTAGTTTTGTTAGGCAGAAGCACTTATGCATTTTTACATTTGTATCATAATAATAATACAGATAGAAGTTATTCAGAACTTTTGAGAAATTCACTTTTAGTATATAAATGTCCCTTTTCACTATGCAACACAGCCATTATTTTATCCATTAACATAACAACATAAATTTTGCAATGCCAAAAACAGACTTGCTAAAAGATTTCCAACTCTTGGGCTTTTTGAACAAGACCAAACCACGATCTGTTACGGTTATTAAATGTTATGTTTCAAACCAGGGAAATAAATGTGTAACATGTAGGTGTGTTATTCAAACCTGCCTAAATAAGGTGGAATAACTATCAGGAACCTGGAATGGATCAGAACTGTGTGCACTCTGATCCATCTCTACGTGTGTGTTAATATATATAAAAATATTTTTAAAAATAAAAATAAAAGTCCAGTAGCACCTTAGAGACCAACTAAGTTTGTTCTTGGTATAAGCTTTCGAGTGCATGCACACTTCTTCAGATGAAGAAGCTTATACCAAGAACAAACTTAGTTGGTCTCTAAGGTGCTACTAGACAATTTTTATATATATATTTTGACTGTGTGCTAACAGTTGGACCAGCTTATGAGTGGGGATTCAAATGCCACTGAAAGCAACACAGGGCAGACAGCCCAGCAGCCACATCCATTCCACTCACCATTTGGATACACAACAGATTTACACCCAGTTCCAATCCAGCTATTGATCTGCAGAAAACTGCTTGTGAGCTGTATTGCGGTGACTTATTTTGCTTGGAGGGACTTCCTTCTGTGCCCGATTCCTTGCAATAATGTCAGGTTCTCTACAGGCTCCCATAGGCGCTTTCATAGTTGTCACCATTTGCAGCAAGACAAATATAAAAGACCTGCTTCCGAATGCACTGTAGTTTCTTACTTGTCATAAAGAAAAATAATACAGCCTTTATGCTCCTATATTAAGGACATTATCTTGCATTCTCCCTAGAGATAAGGTGATCAGAATGCAGGAGACGCACAGAAGTTCCCCAATTTGTTTGTTTCCTGTGATTTTACTTGATGTTCTTGCTTGGGGAGGAACAGAAAAAGCCTATCAATAAACGATTTTAATTCAAGACTTAAGGAAGCTTAAAAATATATCTGTATTAAATGTATAGATTAGGGTTGTCAAACTCAAATGGACTGGTGAGCCAAATTCACCATCCACCACTTATTCAGGAACCACACCTATAATTATAAATTAGTGACTGAAAAAAATATCAATTCCATCTGATTTCAATCACAAATGATACATGAAATGCTAAAATTAGATACTAACCTCAATTAGATGCTAAAATTAAATGGTTGCATCTGTTCGTCACTAAAATTAGATACCGGCTTCTATTAGATATTAAAATTGAGAGCATGGGGAGAAATTGTTACTGCAGCTGTAGCGAATGATATGTTCTTAAACATTGTTTGGATTTTGGCAAAGTGAAACCTTGAAGCCTTGAGAAGGTTACAATAAATTGCAGCACCACACCAGGAGTCCAGATTGACTGTATACCCCTCACACCAGCAAGCCCACTGCAAGCCGGGATTTCTCTGGCTCCTGCTGTGGCATAAAGTAGCAGCTGCTGGGAGTCAGACCTTTTGTCCTATGAAGACCATCGTCAGCTTCCTGGTCCCTCAAGGGGCACTACATGCCACATTGAAGACCTGCAAAAGTGCCTGCTGTAGATGGATTCCCCTGCCCTGTCATGCACAACAGGGTGGGGGTGCTAATCTGTGGCTCCAAATCCCCACCAGGAGCCAGTGTGGTGTAGTGGTTAAGAGCGGTAGTCACGTAATCTGGGAAACCGGGTTCGCGTCTCCGCTCCTCCACATGCAGCTGCTGGGTGACCTTGGGCCAGTCACACTTCTCTGAAGTCTCTCAGCCCCACTCACCTCACAGAGTGTTTGTTGTGGGGGAGGAAGGGAAAGGAGAATGTCAGCCGCTTTGAGACTCCTTAAAGGGAGTGAAAGGCGGGATATCAAATCCAAACTCTTCTTCTTCTTCTTCAATGGACATGGCCAGTGGTCAGAAATTATGGAAGCTGTAGCCCAGTAACATTCAGGGGTCACAGATTAACCCCCTTCCCTTCAAGTACAGAGTGCAATTCTGTACATGTTGACTCAGAAGTAAATGCCATTGCATTCAGAGGGCCTTACTCCTAGGCAAATATGTGCAGGATCAATACCATAATCACTTAACACTGCAAAGACACTATTGATTTTGCATCTCTTTAAATCTCACATGATTTCAAAGGGACCAGAGATATTGTTAGAATTTACATATATGATATTGGACTCTTTTCTTCTTCTTCTTAAGCATAGAAAACCAGCTGAATAGGAGAAAAACGACCAGCATGTTTTTGCAACTTAGCTTGATCTGCAGAAACTAGTGGCTGAAGATTTTCATAGAACATAGATAAGTTGATTCACTTACAAATGTCTGCGAAGAAAATTCTTTTATAGACATAGCAGCCGATAAAACAAGAATGAGTAACTGACTTGTTGGATACATTTTAACTCTAGTCTAGTTGCATCCATGGGGACTATTCATGAGAGGCAAAGGAACCAGGGTTGTCTTGCCTCATAGATAAGGCAGAACTAAAGCGATGGGTCCCCTTTCGTCAGGCAAACCACAGTCTGGCTTCACAGCCCTGAAGTTCTCCTTTATGAAGTGCTGCACACACAAAAGCAGGGCCTCCAGACAAGCTGACTTAAGCAGAGACTTAAGTGACTGTTCTACATGATCCTAAGTGGGAATATGTATGAAGGTCACCCTGAGCATGAAAAAAATAGAATGGGACCATGAGGGTCATCTAGTCCAACCCCTTGAAATGCAGGAATCTTTTGTTGAATGTGGGACTCGAACCCACAACCTTGAGTTTTAGAGTCTCATGCTCTACTGAATGAGGAGTAGGTACCCAGTACTTTTACTGGGCTCCCAGTACCTTTCTGAGCACAATTCAAATTGTTTAAAGCCCTAAACAGCCTCGGCCCAGAGTACCTGAAGGAGCGTCTCCACACCCATCGCTCAGCCTGGACACTGAGGTCCTCCTCTGAGAGTCTTCTGCTGGTTCCCTCACTGCGAGAAGTGAAGTTACAGGGAACCAGGCAGAGGGCCTTCTCGGTAGTGGCACCCGCCCTGTGGAACGCCCTCCCACCAGATGTCAAAGAGAACAACAACTACCAGACTTTTAGAAGACATCTGAAGGCAGCCCTGTTTAGGGAAGCTTTTAATGTTTGATGTATCACAGTATTTTAATATTCTTTTGGAAGCCGCCCAGAGTGGCTGGGGAAACCCAGGCAGATGGGCAGGGTATAAATAATAAATGATGATGATGATGATGATGTCTAGGAGATAAAGAATTACACAACTTTTAGAAGACATCTGAAGGCTGTATTAGAAGGTTTTTAATGCTTGATGTTTTATGTTTTTAGATATGCTATAAGCCGCCCAGAGTGGCTGGGGATAGCTAGATAGGCAGAGTATAAATAAAATCAACTATTATTATTATTATAGTTTATGTCCTGCACTTTCAAATAGCCATCACTATGTCTGCAGCGTGAAGGGGGGTGGGGTGGGGTGGGGAGGAAGAATAAAACTAATATATCTTTGTTTCCTTTCCATCACAACAATGGTATTATTAAGAGGTTATCCTCAATAGATCTCAAAGATACAGTGGTACCTCGGGTTAAGAACTTAATTCATTCTGGAGGTCCGTTCTTAACCTGAAACTGATCTTAACCTGAAGCACCACTTTAGCTAATGGGGCCTCCTGCTGCTGCCGTGCCGCCGGAGAATGATTTCTGCTCATCCTGAAGCAAAGTTCTTAACCCAAGGTACTATTTCTGGGTTAGCGGAGTCTGTAACCTGAAGCATATGTAATCTGAAGCATATGTAACCCGAGGTACCACTGTAGTACAAAGGGACACAAGGAGGAAATCTGCAGGCTCCACTATGTGGTCTCCACTTGCACAATAGATGACATGTTCCAGCCTACTATAGCTTTGAGTTGCCATTATTGTTTTATGTAAAACTATGCCAGCAGAGATAGTTGGTCCATGGGGTCACGAAGAGTCGGACACAACTAAACGACTAAACAACAACAACAACAATGCCAGCAGAGAATATTAGAAGCAAGCAGACTTGTAACAACAGGAGGCATCAGAGGTCAACCCCAAGGCTGTACCCCTATTTATTATTGTCTACACAGATTGGCGGTGGCTCTCCAGGGTATCTCCAGGCATTGCTAGCTATGTCTGTCACAAATGCAGCAGCCAGGTGATAAATATGGGAACACAGGAAGTCAAGCCATTGGTTCTTCTAGCTCAGTAATGTGTACACTGATGGGCAGAATGTCTCAAAATTTTCAGGCAAGGCAGGAGTCTCTTTCCCTGTCCTACCTGGAGATACCAGGGACTGAACCTGGGATCTTTTGCGTGCAAAGCATGTGTCCCATGACTGACCCAAGACTCTTCCCCAGGAGGAGTTTAAAGATAAATAGCCATGAACTCGGGAAACCTATCCAACGAGGTCCCAATAAATAGAGGTGTGCGCCAAGGTTGCATTTTGGCCCCACTCCTCTTCAACTTGTTTATTAGCGATATGAAGCTCTTTCTGAATGAGTCTCAAGCCAACATTCATGCCCCCGCCTAGCTGATTTTCGCTGCCCTCTGCTCTTATATGCCGACGATGCAGCGATCCTTTCCTACTCTAGAGTCGGTTTATGCAGAGCTCTAAAGATTTTTGCGGCTTATTGCAAACTCAACCATCTGACAATTAATCATGGGAAATCTAAAGTCCTGGTCTTTACCAGGTCTCGGAAAACTTACAGCTGGAAGTTAGATGGAGTCCAATTAGAACAAGTTTTCAAATTTAAATACCTGTGAGTCTTTTTCACTACAACCTAAGCTGGAAGCCACAGATACAGTATTTACTAAACAAAGGGAAACAATACTTTATACTCTACTCCAATTTTTTGCGGCCGACGGAGCCTCCCACATCCCTTCTGCATTGAAGGTGTACCATGCAAAAGTGGTTTCCACCCTCTGTTATGCTGCCCCGCTCTGGGCCCCAGGGTCCAATTTAACATCGTTGGGGACATTGCAGAATCAGTTTCTCCGTCGCCTCCTGAAACTCCCCATGTGTGTGAGCAACGCAGCCATACGTCTGGAGTTAAGGATTGCATCATTGGAGACGGTCATCTGGAAGCGAGTCTTTGGTTGTTGGCTGTCCAGCTGGCACAGGCTTCCCAACCATTACCTTTTCCAGTGCCTCTGGCGGGACGACTTTGTCAATCCATGGGTAGGAAAAATCCATGCCAAACTTTTGAGCATCGGAATTTCCCCAGCGGACTCCTTAAAGATGAACTTACGCTCAGCCAAAAGACTTATTGAGCAGAGATTAGCAGACATTGAAAATCAACACAACCTCGCCGGGGGTGAGGGTGTCTGCTCCCCCAGGTATCACGGAATAACCTCACCACTTGGCCTTCCATCATACATGTCATCTCTTTCATCTGTACCACACCGACATGCATTTATTCGTGCAAGGTTCAATGTCTTTCCATCGAACCTGCTGAGTCACAGATTTTCCAAGGGTTTGGTGTCTCCGCTATGCGTGTGTGACGGGAAAACTGTTGATTCTCTCTCACATATAATGTTCAACTGTCCCCTACATAGCATAGCCAGGACTAAATTTCTGGGCCCTGCTTTACTGCGCTTGGTTGGCAGGCCTGCTGAGTCACATGCCGCACTACTTTTGCAGGATACAGATCCTTCTGTAACTCTGCAGGTGGCGAGATTCCTGAATGCAGTTATCTCACACACAAAAACCACCAAAAACAACAACATCAAAAACTAATCGGACAGTTTTGAAGAGAGTGCATGTCGGATCCCGTCTTCAGTTCTCCTTTTCTGGGATCCGTCCCTTGGAGCTCTCCGGGCCCCAAGCTGTTATCTGGCTCTGCTCAATGACCCACCCCTGCATCATGGTGTTCACCTTCTGGTGCCGAATATATTAGTCTTTATGCCTCTGTGCTTTTATGTTTGTACATACTTTATGGGCTAATAGCCGTAAATAAATAAATAAATAAATAAATAAATAAAAATAAATAGCCATGTCAAGAAACAAGAGGACGGAAGGAGACTTGGAGGTGGAGAGGAGAGAATTCAGACCCCCAAATGCTCCCTCTATTAGAAACACAATTGAGTCTGAAATGTTCCCCTCATCATAATCTACTAACGGAGAACATCAGAACACATTTCCTGAAAATCAGCATTGTTACTCTGAAATATATTGGGATCAATTATTTCCCAAAAGCACATGACTTAACTTTTGCAACTCTCCACCCCCAAATTGAATTCCTCAACAGAAGCAGTCCAGGCTGTGAATATAACAGGATTCTACTCCCAGAGCCACTATGAAAGCCAGGTCTCGGTGGAAAACTTTTAAAAAAAAAAAAAAAAATCTACATAGAGCTGCAGAAAAGTTCTAAAACAACAACAACACCACTCGCAAGATAGATTCCTATATATACCGGTAATAACATTGCCACATTAAGATGTAAGTACCACAGGATGTAAGTACCAGAAATACAAACTACAATTTACATCCAATCTTAATCCAAACCAGTATAAAGAATTAGATTATATGCCTACCTTAAATGAAGCCCTTAATTTAGTCCTGAGTAACATATCTTATTTATTTCAATGGGATCTAACTATAACTATCTTTAACTATTCTTAGGCAAGAATGTGTGAAAACTCCTGCAGTGCTAATCCTGAATTTGCTGCCATATGTCTGAAAAAGAGCCTAAAACTGCTGTGTGCTGCACTTTCTTTCTTGGCAAAAGCTGTTTAGTGTCACCATTTTCTGGTAGCCCCTCAGACAACAGTTAACCATGATTTTAAAGTGTGAGACTGATAACAGAAAAGGATAGGTGGTAATAGCAGTAAAACCTGCATCTTTTCCCTTATCACTGTGACAGTTCTTTTTACACTTCACTTCACTTCAGAGTCAGACCACGTTCTTGGTATTGACCTTGTGTGTGGGAAATATATCTGTGTTTGGGGAAAGAAGTGTCAGGCAGAAATGCTTAAAAGAGTTAAAAGGGGGCCTTTTAGAATGTCTGGAAATAATACTATCTGAAAGTCACATGTGTATTAAATCAGACAAGTCAGCAATATTATAAATGAGCACTATTTCCAATTTAACTTACATGCCAGTTCTCCCCCCCCCTTTTTTCACTTGTGGGTTTCTTTTATTTAAATTTCTGCAAATTAATCCTCTTATTTTATCATCAATAAGAGAGCAGCATGATATAGATGAGATCCACAAATAAGCATGGGTCCATGGGTGTAATCTGCGATGTTTGATTGGAGAAGAGAGCAAGAGGGGTGTGGATGTTTGTGTGTTACACACGGGCAGGCAGGCATATGCAAGGTGACAGTGCAATTAATTTTTAAGAAGCTGTCTTGGTCAGGCAACAAAATCAGGAAGATAATTGAACCCTCAGTGACCTGCCAAACATGGCTTGGTGGGTCGCAAGTTGTGTAAGCCTAGTCTAGGGAACGTTCTTGCACTATCACAATTTCCATAGTGCAGTGACCCAAATAACATAATTTTGTAACCTTGTTTCCAAGCTGATGAGCTGCACGCTGGCTTTGGACAATGCATCAGGAGCGGCACCAAATTCACCCATTAAGCTGCCTGTTTGGACTCCCATCCTCTTTTGACTTCAGATTCATTTCTCCTGTGACTGTTCAGTACCTTGATGATCTTGACAATTTTTGTTTTTCCTGCACTTTATGCTACCGCATAGCGCTGGAAGATCAGCAGAACTACCCTGGTTGCCTAAGCAATGTTTTGCCTGTAATCTTCATAACCAGGCAACTAGCTTGATCTTTAAGGAAAACAACAGTGCA